AACCAGATATGTTTTCCATTAAGGCTTTCCATAGAGATTGATCTTCACAGCCCACCACCAGGTTCACCGTTCACCATCCCAGGTGAGCTGAAGATGAGGCCAGGTTCACGTCATGGCAGCTTCGATAGTCGTCGCAACCTGGTCCAGCCCTTGGACATTGATGTGGGTGGCTAGGCAAAAGCTGGTGGAAAGTGGTGAGAAATTCACCCCCATAGCAGTTCTGGTTGGTGGTGACTGGAACATTTTGGAACCATATGAACCATGGAATTTGATGATTTTCCCATTCAGTTGGGAATGGGCATGTCATCCCAACTGACGAAGCCATATATTTTTCATGTATAGTATATTGACCTACAAAACTGGGGTGATTTATGAGTCTATGAGGTAAATGTTGGCAAATATTCCAGCAACATGGAGCATATGGGATAGCAGTTCATGTCAGTTCGGCCGTGATTTTTTGTTGGACATCTACCTTAAGCTCTATATGAAAACACATCTGACTTTTGGGATGTGAAAAAACCGGGGAACTGGCTATGTATCTGATTGGGCTTTTTACATTTGTCTTTTTCAAATGGGAACTATGCATAGCTATGCAATATATATATATATACATACATATATATATATATGCATAGTATAGTATAAACATATATACATCTCAAAATGATTCAACATGTTAGGCTTCAGATGGCTTCAGATGGTTTTAGCATGTTTTAACTGACAACTTGGAATCAACCCTGTGTCTTTGCGCGTTCCGAAGCCAGGTAGCTTGACAGCGCCGGAGCATTTGTTCACTCCGACGCGGAAGGAAACGTCCCAGATCTCAGGGGGCACCCCGACGCCGCCGGGGGGATACTACACGCCACAGCAGCTGACCCCACAACAGCTGACCCCCCAGCCGCCGACGCCACAGCAACACACCCCTGAAGCTGTTCGAAGGTGGGGATTCGCGAGAAAGGATTTATCATACTGAATCTGAAGGAAGTAGAGCAAGTGTAATTTTGGTTGGAACTATAGATCTTCTTAGTAGATGACAGGTATAAATAAGGGTATCACATATATATAGACACATCCATTAACATTCATCCACATCTTAGTTGGAATAAAGATCCAGAAATGATAAATTTGGACACACATCAAAAATCCCCCATTCATCCCCCATTCAGTTGCGCCGTCGTCCTTAAAGGGCTTCCTCCTCGTTGCTGGATGAAGTTGACGACGACACCCCGGTGATGGATGAGGCGTCGCCATCGCCCAGTTCGCCGCTGGCTGGGAAGCAGCTGCAGCGTGAGGCCTCGGCCTCGATTTTGTGTCGTCAAGCCTCGGAGTTGCGTCGGGACTCCAGTCAGGCCGGATCTGGGAGATCCTTTTTGGGATAATCATAGGATATGTCATGGGATAATTGAATGGGATCATGGGATAATTTAATGGGATAATGAGATAGTTTAATGGGATAAGGGATAATTTAATGGGATAATGGGATAGTTTAATGGGATAATACTGGGGATATTTTATATAATTTATCGTAGGATATGTAATGAGATAATAATGGGATGATAATGAGATACCCTCTGGTGAACTAACATAGCAATGGAAAATGGCTATTTATAGTGGATTTTCCCATTAAGAATGGTGATTTTCCATTGCTATGTTAGTTCACCAGAGGGTAATGGAGGTTTCCGAAGTCATGGGGGTACCCCCAGTCAACCAAGTCATCCAAGTCATGAGCATTGTTTAGGATTGACACCTCTGACTTGGGGATCACCCATTGAAAAAGAACCGCCAAATGAAACTGCCTATAGATCTTGATAATTCTGAACAAAGCTACTAGTACTACATAATTCAAAATGGATTACCGATGTTGATCTATTTTTGGTGTCCCCAAAATCCCATCATTTTCCCATTCGGTGTCCAGCCAGGGGCGTGTTTTCCTGAGGCGCAGCTCACGAACTTGAGTCAGTTGGGAGCAGAAGAAGAGGATGAAAAACATCAGTCACTTCGTACCTTTGATACGGCCTACATGTTGCCTGGAAAAAGTTCTGAGTTTTTCCATGGCTTTTTCCAGGGTTTTTCCCACATTGAGATTTCCATTGCCTTTCCCTGATAAATTGAGATACCATCTGGTTATGACATTGCCAGTTCGCCATGGAAAGATCCACCATGCTATTAAGTTCGGTAAACCATCTATTTCGATTGGGGCCATCGAAAAACCATGGAGAACTGTTAGTCACCAGAGGGTTTTCCATTGCCCATGGCCATGGCCATGGCGCTTTTCCAAGGTTGCTGGGAGATCAACCACTAGGAGCGATTTCCGGGGGGCCCGTTTTCCGGGGGGAGCGCGACTAGGAACTTGAAGAAAATTGAACCCAGATACCCTCTGGTTATGACTAACATAGCCATGGAAAATCACCATTTTTAATAGGTAAACACAGGTAAACCATCTATAAATGGGCCATTCTCCATGGCTATGTTAATAACCAGAGGGTATTGGGATTTAATTGGGTGAAACATGCTGAAGCATGGTGAAACTTTGTGAAACTGTTTTCTTGCTTACATTCATTTACATTCCATTTTTCCTGGTCTCAAGAATGCTACAAGGAAGTCTTTCTCCTTCATACACTGTTTCGCTTCATCCAATAAATCACAGGTTTTTTTCATATTCATGTCATTTCATGTTTTGTCCATTTTTGTCCGACATGTTTGGTTGGACAAGCTCCATCCGCCAATTTCTTTTGGTTCAACATTCATTTTCTCTTGGATACAATGGATACAACACTCCATTCATGTTTTTACTGGTTGGTGGTTTGGAACATGTTTCATTTTTCCATTCACTTGGGAATGTCATCATCCCAACTGACTTTCACTAACTCCATCATTTTTCAGAGGGGTAGGGCTCAACCACCAACCAGTTTAGGTTTTCATCTCCCCATGACCTCCTGGTCCTTTGCTGGACCCATCCCATGACGAGGAATCACTCATTTTCAGTAGGATTTGACGTGATTTTACGAGATTGTATCATACTTCATCCAAGGGAAGTTGCTTTATCCTTTTTTTTCACCCCCAAAAAAAAACATAATTTGATTCTCCAAATGATGGATGCATTCATCCACATTAATCAATGACAATATCCCATATAACTCAGGAAAACTATGGAATCCCAGGCGGGTCGCAGTTCCAAAAATCGGGGATCCTCTCATGGAATCCCATGTCCCCAATTGACCCAATTGACACATCATCCCATGATTTGTGAACTATTGATGCTTCACCACTATCAAATATATCATTTCTATAACAATAAATGTTTATATGATTCGAAATGTTTCGTTCATTTGGCCCTTCTCCTTCCCTCGTCTCACTTGGAGACTTGAGGCTGTGTGACTAAGTGATTGTCACTTGTGGTTTAATGTTTTGCACTATTTGTTGAAAAAACGCATGAAATTGTATTCTTCCAAAATCCTCCATATATGTCTGTAATATCAATGTATAATTCTCTCAGAAAATCGAACAGTTACAATCATAGTCCTACATGCTTATTACATAATAAGATTCATAATCATTTAATTCCACTATGATTATTGTAACTCTCCATCATATATAGATACTATATAAATAGTAATTACTATCCCATTATCATATAAATAGTTATTATCCACATTGTATATCCCGTAATATTTGCATATATTTGCATTATATTAGTAATTATCCCATCATATTATCCCATCATCATATGTTATAGTCCTTATATCTTCCTCCATATTAGTATGATCCCATCGTCGTCCCTTCCCATCATCCCGTCATATTGTATATATCATATATATCGTATTACAGTAATATATGATGATCCTCCATCATTCTCTCATCATCCTCCCATCAACCATATCATATAGGATATTTAATCTTAATACTATCCATAAGAATATCTCCATATTGTCATAATTATCCATATCTCTATATAAATATGCCATATTAAGACAATACTATCTGTCAATATACCTTGAAAATCCACTTGTAAAATTATCGCTGCCTGCCAAGACAGCAACAATTATCGTTGCCTGTGAATATTATCGCTGTTTGCTTAAATTATCGCCGCCTGATGTTCCGCAGCTGTTTGATTTGACCATTCCATATCTTGTAATCTTGTAACAAATCATTCAACAGCAAATGGCATAGAGGCAATGTTGATTTGACCATTCCATCTTGTAATCTTGTAACAAATCATTCAACTGACATAATGGGGAAGGTGGAAGATTCAGAAACTACTAACCCTCAAAAAAATGCACCAGCCCAACTTCACTGGGCACCATCGCGATTGTTTTTTTGCCTGAAGCTCAGCGATGAAACTCTCTGTGACTGAGTAGGCCAACCTTGATCAAGTAATTGGTGAGCACTCTGGTTGATATCACTCTTCCATCCACACGACGGCTCAGTCTACACAAACGGCCAATTGCATCTTCGTTTTGACAACAGTCCCAGAGCAACGGGCTGCAAACCAAAGGATCATGTCTATCCAACTGGTCTTTCACATCCAGCAGCATGTGCTTCATGAAGTGCATCTTTGGCTTGATGGCATAGAGGCAATGTTGATTTTCGAAACACCATTTGGCCAATAAAATGTAGCCATTGATGTGAGATTGGCCAAATTCATACATCACCGAAGCACAGTTGGGAGCTTGAAACATGGTGTGCTGACAAATGTGTTGGTAGAATGAGGTTCCCACCCTGGATGTCGCCAAGATCGTTTGCATGATCGGAAGCTGCGAGGCCGGGGGTCCGTCATTGATCAACCCCACCGTCAAAGTTGTAATCCATTGGACCAAAAGGGCACAGTCACTTCCCTTCACATTGGCCCAGGGATAAGACTTCTTGTTGGTATACTTGAACAACTGGGGCGTAAAACTCCGAAGTGCAGCTGTCTTCCTTGTTGCTGATAGCCACAACTTGAAATGTCCATGTGCTCTTTCAAGTTTGTCCCCAACGGTCCCCTGTGCACCAAAGTAGTTCCACCGAAGGTAAAGGAATATTGTTGAAGCAACAAAGTCTCGAAAGACCCCCAAGCGAATGGTGTGAAGAATGTCATGTTTGTACATGAACTCCGGCTTTTGGGGGTCAAATGGCACAGCATTGAGGGCAGGTTGCTGACCAGCAACATCGCTCCATGGACGTTCTCTGTAGCAAGTGTCCGTCCAGGATGGAGTGGATGAAACATCTTCAGCAGGGAGGCCGGGAGCCCCGGCCAAGCAAATGTGGCAGCAGGGCACATCAACAATTCGACCCTTTCGTTCGTATCCACGGGTAAATCTGCAGATCTTCGAATGCCATTTTAAATCGCCTTTGCTTGCCACTATGGCAACATGAAACTTTTCACCTCCAATATCCATGCCATTCTCATACAGATCTTTCAGATCGTCAGCAATGAGCTCCAACATAGATAGGGTGATATCCTTGTACTGTTTGGCATAGATCCCAGGAATCACGAACAAAGGGAAATGTTGCAAAAACGAATGCCCTTTGAGGTTGCACTGCAATGCTTTGGCCAAACGATGCAGCTCATCGTCTGGCTGCTGGTAGGTGTCCAAGTGCGTGGGATGGCAAGAACATTTGTTGACTTTGCCTTTCACCCCAAGAACCGCTTCACAAAACACAACGGTTGTGCTTGATCTCCGTTTGCCTCGTCCTTCATCTCCGTGAATGGCCAGGGGAATGATACGATCAAAGCAGTGGTGGTCAGAAAAAATTCTGTGTCCACTATGGTACATGTTGTAGGCATGCCAAAAGGCTGGCAAGGACTCAACTCCCCCAGAACCAAACAATAGGCCAGGTTCTTTTTTGATCACATACTCCAAGAGATTTCTGGGTCGGAAGTAGTGGATCGAAATGACATCACCATCTTCACAAACATAGTTGAAGACATCCTGTTCGATTTTCCAACCAATCCCAAATCGTTTGATGGCTCGGTAGGCATCCCGTGAAACGTTATGTATTTTGGTTTTTTTCAGCACACCGGCTTCCAGCAAGGCCCCATGGTGCACTTTCTCGACACTGGAGGCTGGGACCTAAGGGCTCAGGTGGGGAATAATATTACAAACACTTGAAGGAGGATATACTTTGAAAATCTTTGAAACACTGACCCTCAAGAAAGCCAGAGCTGTGACTATATTGGGGAATGCAGGGCATCCAAGGCAACACTGAGTTGGTTGTCTGAGTCACCAACCCCATCAGCAATAGCTTCGGCGTAGGCTTCTGTCAAAGGGCGTTTCTGTGGTGCTTTGTTCCCAGCACCTGCAGCATGGTTTCGATTGGTTATGTCGAATTGTTTGTTCACAAAAAGTGCTGGAGGGAAGCAATGCTCCAAGCAACCCAAGCCAGAGCTCTAAACTCTTTTTTTCATCCGATCAGCGTTGAAGTTGTTGTGAACATGGTGAAATGCGCAGGCGCTCTAATGAAAGCGCTAAATTGCTCCCCCAAACAAATGAAAGACCAGAATTGTACATAATAAACAGGTCATATCAAAGGTTGAACAAGTGGTTGATTATGAGTATAGTCTTTCTTCCTGGCCATCATTTCGAGCAATGAGCTGGGCTTGCCACCAGATTCCCAAAAAAACACCACTCTTGATGAACTACTAAAAAAATCTAAGAAGACTACAAACATTTTTTCATATTAAAACCACCACTGATGATACAGCCGCAGCCTATTGCAAACCCCTCAAGCTTTGACCTTCGCTTCTAAGGTCTACTTGTCTTTTTTGTTCTTCGCTGCACCTTTTGCCTTGGCCTTAGCTGCTCGCTCAGATGTGCGACGAGGCTTAGGAGCCTTCTTCGGGGCAGCCTTTGGATGAAGTGGCCTTGCCAAATCCGACCAAAATCAACCAAAGCCAAGAGTCTTCCCATCAAGATGTTTTGGGCAAACTTTCTGAATTTTTCAATCGCTTCTAACCCATTCATTTCGACAGAGTGTATGAAAGCTTGGCTTAGGCTTAACCGCGCCTGGAACGAAGTTCGAGCCCAAGCGCTTCCATTGCCCTTGGCCAAAATTGGGCCAAACCAATGATGTTGGTTTATACAAGTGCAATGTATAAGACCCGGACAGTGTCGAAGCTTGTCGGTACAACTCCTTGAGCTTTTCTTCTTGCCTAGAGATCACTGACATAGCTTATAGATTATACCATTGAAGGGGAGGGGTTGGAAGAAATGCAGATGATGCTAGAATTACCTTACATGGCATGTAAAGAATCGACATTGAAGGCAAGAGATTGAAAACACTCCAATTGAATCCATTGAATGATGCAAGTTTCACTTTGAG